CCCCGGGCAATGCCACTTACTGAAGTGTCTTTAGGCCATTTCCCAAAGGGGGTCTAGAAGTTTGTGCGTATGCACAGTAGAATTGTAATTAGGCTGACTTATCAATGTCATGCTCATACCGTGCCGCAACAACAAAGGGGGAACTGCTGCTTTTTCTTTCTTCATCCTTACTATCATCATTTTCTTCTACTTCTTTTGTATGTTTGTCACTCTCTTGTGAACTGCTGTTTCCGGGGTGCCTTGATAGTCGAAGCAGACTTTGTGCTGTTGAGGCTAGAGAGGTGAGCAGAGAAAGCTTGATTCCGCGATTGGACTTCTCTGTTGACATCCACCCCTTGGCACTCATATGACCTTATGCAGTTGAGAGCACCATAAAAACCTTACTAATACTAAAACTAAAAATTTATCAAAACTCCTACTGGGCAAATAGAACTTTGTAATTAACAATAATAATAATAATAATAATAATAATGAAGATCATTTCTGTAGGGGCCACTCCCGTGTAAAGACAGCTCAAGGCGCTTTACCTAAACGAAGTGACTATTTCCCCGAACGTTCGGGAGAATAAACTTGAACTGTATTTCTCCTAACGGTTTTCGTTCTCAAGATTTTTTTGTTATTTGCGAGATTAAGGCGTCATCTTTCATTCTGCCATTCTGCGAGGACTGGGAAGAAGCATTTTTTGCATCGAATTCAATTTCTAGAGCTAGAGTCACCCAGCAAAAATTAAAATCCTTCATGTAAAAAAAAACAACCTCCCCCCCCACCCGCCCCACGCCCTGCTCACACCCTGCTCACACCTTACACACACACACCCACACACACCCCCACACACCCCCCCCCCCCACACACACACACAGGTGTAGGCCCACGTGTCGACACACTAGGCCTAGTAGCCGTGTTGGTGTGTTTTCCTGCTGCATTGCAAGCGGAGATAGCTGTTTAAGGTTCACTAATCATCACTTACGAGCAAAATCAAGTTTTCCACTGCTATTTATGAAAAACTTTTCGAACTCGTTCGGCCAAATCCATCCTTTTATGACGCTGCCTTACCACCAGGGGCGAAGCGTTTATATAATCAAATAATCACTGCTTCCCTTTCTAATTTTGAAACATTGTCGCTGTCAAATTCATCCTTAAACGTAAACCTCATAAATTAAATGTCAAAAGGTCAAATTCATCCTTAAACGTAAACCTCATAAATTAAATGTCAAAAACGGTTTCACGGCCACAGAAATAGGCCTCCCTCACCCCCTCTTCGGCCACTTCAATAAAGCAGTCGCAAGCTTTTGAATTAAGTTAAGCTTTAAAGTGAGGCTGGAATAGAGTTGAAGGGAACATGTGCATGTCTAGTTCAAAGCTGTTTTCATTGCCACATATACCCTGTTCACCCCTTTGGGGCCACAGTTAAAATCAATCACCAGCCCTGATTAAGTAAGCTAACTAACACTGGGTCGAGTCTACCTCACAAATGTGAGGGGAACTAACTCTTAATAATCTCTTGACTGCTGCTTGTGCTTGTTTTTTTTCCTCGACTTTTTACCGTCCTATAATCAGATCGTGACCTCGATTATGACACCAGCTCCTGGCCGCGAAAGGCTAACAAAAACAGCCAAATGTGAAATTTAAAAAATAATAATTGTCATGTTCTACCAGAGAGTTAGACTCACTGGTAGATCTATAACATATAGATCTAGTACTGACATCTCTGCTTCTTTGCTTTATGTTTATGTATTCACATCTAAAGTTAAGTTTAATTTTAGTGGGAACTGATATTTAATAAGATACTTTCCCGATTATTTTGGCGGTTGAACATACAATATGAATTCCGGATTTGTTTTCATTCACAACTCAGAGTCGCTGCCTCGAGTAAGATTCTTGTGTGATATCTACAGGCCCTATCTGGTCCCATTTCACTTTGATTACCCTGTCAAACAAGTCAGCCTTCGCCCCTGCTTACCACAAAACAAGAACACCGCTACACTTTCGCTCACAAACACCGCAATCATGTGGACATAAAAGTCCGTGCAATTTCCACAAACCGCCCCCGTGACGTCACAGCACACTCCTAACATGTGAATCGTATTTGTTAATTTTTGTGGATGTTTATGTGCTGTTCTAATTTTGATTTCATTCTGTTGTGAAACCTTTTTTTTCACGTTTTATCACTCTGTGTGACAACAAATGATTTTCTGCAGAGCACAAGAAATTCTGGTGCTTTAGATAAAGTTACCTCTATCAACATATTCCTGTATACGCCATCACAGAGAGTTGAAAGCTTAAAAATTAATGGCAACTTTTATGGCAACTTTGCCAATTTTGTGGCAACTTTTGGCCACTTTTGGACAAAAGAATGGCAACAAATGCAGATGCTAGCTTAAGGTGGACGCGCACCTGACTTTACTACCAACAATATTCACGCACGCGACACACACACACACACACACACACACACACACACACACACACACACACACACACACACACACACACACACACACACCCACACACACACACACATACATACACACATAAATACACATACACACTCTAACACATACACACACAAACACACACAAACACACACACACACACACAAACACACACACACGCACGCACAC